TGTTTGTAACTCTGTATTGTCTGTATTGTGCTTGTGATATGTTGTAAAATGTTGTATGTCTGTTAATGTTTCCCTCCTTTTATCTTTAAAATAAAAAAAAAAAGACAAAGACTGGCGAAGCAGTGGGGCTTCCATGGAGGAGGTTTATTGGGCACAGCTGGTAAGGTGCCTGGTGCCCAGTGGCTGAGTGTGACAAGTTTGCATGGTGACAGGCTGACTCATGAACTAGAAATCATATTCCAGAACCCTGGGCGTCTTCCAGGAAGTTGGCTGTGTAGGTCTTGGGATGACAACCAAGGAGAGGATGGAAAGAATAGTGATAATAATTACCTGGTGATCTCCTCTTATGTGATAAATACTTTCCATGCATTTCCTTATTTTCACACTTGTAGAAAACAGAATATCAGATTCAGATGGTTTAAGAAACCAAGGCTGCACACTTGGAGAAATGGAAAAAACCTTTATTTAGGTAGCTTGGCTCACATTTTATAATTTGTGACCCATAGAGGTGACAGTGTTACAAAAGTTCTTCTAGAGTTAGTGCCTGTGAAAAAACAAACGATGAAGACACTTACTCCAAAAGGACAGAGTTATACCCTTGGCCATCTGGTCAGCCTCAGTCAGGTAAAGAGTCTATCCAAGGAATAAGGAGGTTGCATTGGACACCACAATTTAGGGAGTGAAGTCCCAGTACAGGAGGCGGACAGAGGAGGAGGAGGGAGGCTCCTGGTGCCTGTGGGTTAGAGAAACCACTGCATTATCCTATGAAAGTGTAGGCTGGGAGGGAGCAGGGAGCAGGAACGAGTTCTGTGGAGGGTAAAAACTGCTGCCACTGGACCAAGCAGAGGACTGCACTTTCAAATGTGCCTTCCTTTCCCACTCCATGCCGGATGGGATCCACTGTCCCTGCTTTCCATCTGGGAACACTACTGTTCACAAAATCAGTCATGTGTCTATTGAGATGCAGCGAGTCCTACGTCATTACTTCGCACTGCATGAAACTGTCAAACACTGAAACTCAGAACCACCTGCAGTTCAGACCGCTGCATTAAATGTGCAGGGAGATGCACAGTCATACCCCAGCGTCTGGACATTTCTTCTAGGTCTTCCTTCCTTACTCAAATCTGTGGTACCTGTACATGTAGCATTTGCAGTATGTGAGGGGAAAGGGGAATCAGCACAGACCATCTGGCTTGTGTTATGGCAACATGGCATGGAATGTATTGTGCCTGGGTGCAGACAGAGAGCTGAACCAGAGCAGCTTTTGATGTTCCTGGGGAAAATTGGTGGTACATTGAGGAAAATATAGAGAAGAGACCAGGCTGGGGTCAGGTGGAGGTCCTCTCTCTCCTGATGGAGGAGCAGAACTCAACAGTAGAGTTGTTTATTTATACTTTTGCAAATGTAGTATCCTGAGACACAAGCTTGCCTTGTGGCTAATGACTGAAATTGTCTCAGGCAGGATATTTTTCTCAGGGCTAAAGTAGCTCGATTGCTATGGCAGTGTGGCCTTGCCTTTCCCTCTCACAATATGACGAAGTTTCAGCTTCAGCCGCACCCTGCATTTGCCTCAAGTGAAGAGAACTGTGTGTCCTTTTATAGGGATGGAGATCAGGTGGGTGACATTAGGGGGGAAGATCCCAGTGAACACATGTGGTCAATGATGCCTGGCAGTCTTGAGATTCAGTGGGCACATCCACTGAAAGAGTTCCATGTAAATTCTCAGGTGTCCCAGGATGTCCACAGGAGCCGAAAAATTCCTTGTCCTGTCTTAGCTCCTTTCCTGTGCTTGGTGATGACAACTTCAGTACTGAGCCGTGTTCCTAGCTGACAGCTGAAATCCCTGCAGACAGTAACACTTCTGCTGACAAGGAGGTTGGCGTCTGCGGACGAGTCAGATCCAGTTCAAATCTTATCGGACATAGGGGTGCAGTGTTTATATGGCACCTACTGTGTACTGTAAATTACCTGCAGAGTACTCACAATACCTAATTCCATACAAAATGCTGTTCTACTGATTAGGGAATGATTATAAGAAACCTTCTGTGTGTTCACTGCAGGTATTTAAATAATAATTGTGACCGATGGTTGATGGAATCCCCAGATGTGGAGGCCCCAAGGGAGCAGAGCTCAGTGTGACTCTTTGTTGGTTCTCTGTTTTGAAGTCAGTTCTTCAGGCACCTGTAATGGAGAGAGGATCATGTCATTTCTATGCATGATTTCCCATTGGTCTGTTTTTAGGAAAAATGATTTAAAAAGATCTTTGAAGCCATGTGATGTATGCCTGTAATGCAGGTATTGTAGGAGGCTGAAGCAAGAGGACTTCATGTTTGTGGTGTATTGAGAACTGTTATTCAACTTGTGAAACCCAGCTGAAGAGTATCAGCATGGTGCAGGGTGTGGGGGGCCCATGTGAGGACCATTTCCAACAACAAAGAAAGAGACCTAGCAGTGCTGTGGGTTTTCCTGGGGGAGTGTGTCGTGCTGGCTTTCCTGTTATGAAATTGGCTGTTGTCATCATTGAAGGAGCTCAGGGCCTTATTATCATTGAAGATGGCTGCAGTACTTTTAAGGGAGCTCTGGTTCTTACCTTGAGCATCACTTCCTGGCTGCAGTGCAGATCCTTCAGCCTGCTGGCACAGATCCTTCATCCTGCTGGCACAGACTTTCTGGATTCCACAACTGACCTTTGGGCTTTTCCAATCCAGATCCTTGGTACAGACTTCCATGACAGATTACATGGACTCTGGACCTCCTGTTGAATGGTTGGAGGATATTGTCATGGGCTCTAGGAATTCAGCTAGGCTGATGCAGGATATTTCCCGGGGTCCAGGTACTCAACTGGCTTCTGTAACTCTTTAGTGTGGGGACAGATTTCCTGTACTCTTTTGTATTTGACTCTTTGGGTGACACTTAAAGAATAATCATATAAATTATGAGTCCTGTACTGAATTATTTTGCTTACAAACCATCACCACAACAATGTTCAACCTCAGCATAGACCAGTTAGATATGCAGCAAGGCTCTGGTTCACATAAAAAATTAAATAAACCAGGCATGCTAGGACATGTCTGTAATTGGCGAACTCAGTTGGCTGATGCAAGTGGATCACCATGAGCCTGTGGCCAGCTTGGGCTACACAGGGAGTCCAAGTCCAGCCTGATATACACAGCTAGACCCTGTCTCAAGAAACAAACAAATAAAAGAGCACGTTATGATCATCCTGTCTCAGCTTCAAAACTTGCTGATACTACAGACATGAGTGACAACATCTAATTCAGTTGTGACACTTATGATCCCCTACAATCCCTGAGGGCAGGGAGGGACACTTAGTCTTTGGTAAAGGGTTTTTCCAATGGGCTCAGCATAGTGAACTGTCTTGAGAATGTGAAATCTCAGACAGGAGCTGCTGCAGAGCTGAGACCGCAACTCCTATGGGCAGGCAAGGGGGTGACATATTTGCAAGTCACCTTGGGGAGCTTGAAGAAGAGGAGAAATATGGGTCCAACCACAGACCCCATCATCCTAGTGGATCTGACCCAAGGCCTCTGTCTTTAGTGTCAGGGTTCTTCCAAAAGGGGACATTGCCCAGGCAGGATGGACGCACAGGCAGTGGCCTGGGCTTCAGTCTGAAAGTGACGAATATGAGGCTGAGGAAACCCCAGGTTGAGGAAAAAGCAGTTGAGGAACTGAAGTGAACTAACTGGAAAAGACCTCGTGGGCTTTTGTTTTGATTTCTCCAGTGCATTGTGGCCCTAGTGGTCAAGCAGTCAGCCTTTGCTTGGAGTTGCATCTGTGTGTCTTGTTTTGTTTTGTTTTGTGTGCATTCACTCTCGTGTCACTGAAGCCCCAGTACACCCTTCCCCTGGGCAGTAAAGTACTTTGTCAGCACAACCAAAGACCAAAAACTAAGTCCCAGATTCACTCATGATCAGTTTCATGGATTTTTCCCTCAAGTTAACATGAAGGGTTCCAGGGAAGGAGCTTCTCCCATTACTCTTAGCCTGCTTCAGGTCTCGGCGTGGCCCTTGTGGCCCAGGATGCTGCCATCAAAAGGTTTGCTGTCACAGAAGGTCACACGCACTCACTTTTCCAGGAGGCTTCCCATTTGTTTCTCACACCCTGGGTTCCCCAGTGGCCCCCCAACAGGCACGGTCCTGATCACAGCCCCCGCTCTTCCCAAAGAACCCTACTTGAGAGAGTCCCTCCCTGCAATGCATTTCGGGTGGACAACCTTAGAGTAATCCAAAAGAGGCACAGAGGTGAGGGAGGAAAGCTGGGCATAGAGGTCCAGAGCTTTTATCGGGTATTCTGGAGCATCAGGGCAGAGGATCAGAAGTACAAGCCCAACCCAGTCAATCAGGCAGACTTTGTCTAAAAATGAATTTTCTGTGGCTGCAGCTCAGTAGGTAGGCTGTACGATGATGCCCTGTGACAAGGGTATATTAGGAAGGGAGAGAAATACCAGGAAGCACGAAGGGAATCTGTGGCTGGAGAAAACCAAAGGATGGGAGGGAATGAACAACATGGAATATCTTTATTGGCTGCTGTGAGTACCTGAAGCCAAACCGCATTGACCAGACAACTCAGGGCCTTTTCTCCACAGGGACTGCAGATTCATGAGCTCTGAGCTGGAAAGTGTGACAAATGAGCATGGAGGAAAGCACATGCTTCACATGCAAATCTCTGTATTTCTGACCGTTCATTTACATTCATGCACACATTCATCTCAAGCTGATTTGATATCGAAGAAGTCAAATTCCTCGACCTGCTCCTGTCTAGGTCCAAAGTGCACAAAGGTCACTTCTCCTCTCAAGTCACTGATTCTTCAAGGTGGCTGCCTGCTGGCACACCTGTGCTTTTGACATTCCCACTGCAAGAAGAGCTCTGTGTTCCCGGGTCCCAGATGGAAATGTATGATATCTAAATTCAACTAGACAGACATGCAGGCCTAGCGTGGAGAATGCTTGTTATGGACTTTCCGGCAGCAGCAGACTTCACAGTGAAAAGTGCAGAAGTACACTGTCCTGGGATGGTTTAGGGCCTTCACGATCCTCCTCAGCTCTTCATGTAGCTGGTTCCAGAGCTGCTGATTGACACCTTGCGTAGAAACGAAAAGCTCTGGAGGAGAGGAGTACAGCTCCAGGGTTAAGTTGCTCAGCCTGGTGGTGTGGCCCAGCAGCTTCCTCATGGTGTCTATGGACATGAAATTCCTCGTGAAGCCGAAGGTAGTGAGCTGGGAGCAGCAGCTCAGGAACGGCAGAATGGCACAGACCTGCGCATCTGTGATGCCACAGTTTTCCAAGTGCAGGGCGGTCACTGTGGCTGCGACTTTCTTGAGCAGAATTTGGAGGGATTCAGGGCTAAAATCAGTCAGCAGGATACAATATATTTGCAAGACTTATAGCTGTCTGGTCTGCTCAGCCTGGGGCAGCTGGATCCAGTCAGCATGTGAGAGCTGGCATGGAGTTAATGAGAGGGTCTCTAGCAGTGATGGGTGGCACCTGAAGAGAGACCAGGCAGTTAGATCTCCATTTGGTGGGGAAAAGTGAGGAATGGCAGGAACAGCAAAATGGTGTATCAAGTGTCACATGAGTCAGCCTATTCTGGGTGCGAGTTTCCCATCACCTGCTTGAGTGAATCCTGGATGTCCACAGTCCCCGCTTCTCCCTCCCAAGCTGAAACCACAGCACTTTCCCGATGAGAGTAGCAGGAGCCAGGCAGGAAGTAATCATCAGGAAGATGTGGCCACAGCTACTGGCCTGCCTAAAGATGGTGCCAGCAGTTTGTGTGCCTGTTCCCTGTCCTGCACCTGTGCTCCTTGCCCTCAGCCTCAGACCCCTGCACCTCCATTTGGTCACCAGCACCTCTGGGGGCAGAGCCTTCTCCTGGAGACTGCTGGGGGATAAGAGAGGCATTGGCGATTCTCAGCACCTTCTGCTAGGAGGGATTCCTGAGGAAGAAGTCACACACCACAACTCATTCTATCTGACTTCACCACTTGGCATCCTGGTATGGTGGCCCTGTCCTGTGTGGCTGCTCCAGTACAGTGGCTAAGGGATTCCATGTTCTGGGACTGAGGAGTGAAAAAGGCCGTGTGTTGATTCTCTACTGTTTGATCCATGACACATCTCTTGGGTGCACATTGTCCATGGTCACTAATATTTCTAGAACAGAGAAAGGCTGTTCTCAGTGCACAGAGAGCTGCATATCTTACCTGAGTACACGGTCCAGGTAACCTTCCAGCAAACCCACAGAGTCCACATAAATCTCTTGCAAACAATGAAGTTTCATAAGCTGACAGGTGATTTGGCTAACAACTCGGCTATCTTCTCTGGGGAAATGATGACCAGCACAGAGACATCTGAGACAATTAGGTTGTGAAGTTTTTGCATCTGGCCCAGGAGAGGGGCAAATTGAGCCAAGGTAAAGAGTTTCCCGCAGTGACCCCATGCACCTCCTGCACAGAATCAAGGGTGAGCATTGCCAGGAACTCTCTGGCCGTTGGAAAGCACATGGTTGTAATACACAGATTCTTACGCTCCAGCTGCACCAGATCTTCCCTGGCCCGCGCCCACTTGAGGAGATAGGATTCCTCTGGACACAGATGTCCCTGAGTGAGATGCAGATCTATCGTCACCTTGAGGGGCTGCCTTTTTGCTCCCCTTGACCCAGGCACCTCTGTTTTTCTCCTCCTAATGGCTTCTTTAGAGCAGACTTGCAACTCACTGCCAGCCCACACTCTCCACAAGTTCTGGTGCTTGACTCGCGTATCTAGCACTTGCAGTTTCAACCTCCTGTGGGTGAAGCAGAAATGAGTCTGAGAATTTAGGCCAGGAGCCAGTTTCCTCCTGTGCCTTCCTCATCTCTGAGGTCGGTGGCTATCTCTTCTACTCTTTCTGTGCTGCGGTTCTCTGCTTCTCTTTTCCTCCTTGAGTCAGGCCAGGCCCAACCCCTGGTGCTTGCGGGAGGAGTCAGGAACTTCTTGCTCCGTTCAATTCACAGCAGCCTCCACGCTCAGCTCAGCTCCCCATCTAGCAGTGCCTGCCCAGGTGGGTAAGCAATGCCCGAGGCTTCCCTAATCACTGCCAGGCATATTCAGAAGCCACTGCTTCACCCTTAGGCCCCACCCTCCCTGACACTTTCTGCCCTTCCTGAAATCCGGGGCCCTCCCTATAGGATACCTGGGTTCCACTCACCTGGAGCGAACCTTCTGGCTCAGGAGCACATCAAGCCCATCCACCACAGCATGGAACATCCTTTCCTGCATCTGGCCATCATCCACCTGAATGTCCAAGGTCTCTCCATTCCTCAGGCTCATCAGGGTTCCCAGGGGCAGGCAGGGAAAGGGCCAGGACAGCACTATGGCCTTGAGGACCTCTCCGTGTCCACTGGTGAAGGCTTCCATGAACACTGGTGGGAAGAGCTTCCCTGGCAAATCTTACAGGGCCTCCATGGCCAAGGCTTTAGTCCTCAGCAAGCTCTGAACTGCCATGTTCCATAGTAGGTGTGGGGACTGGGTGCTCATCCTGGTGAATCTGCAAGGCTGGCGGTGCTGAGGAAACACTGAGGAGAGACACGTCCTTTCAGGCAAGGCTGAGAAACCCTTCTCTCCCATGAGAAAACCAACGTGCCGCTAAAAAGTCCCTGGTCTGAAAAGGGTGGAAGAGTCTTCAGTCTGCCCCACATCTACTTTGGCTTCTGGTCCCACAGCCTTACTTCTGCCAGTAGCAAGCCCAGGAAGAATGTCTCAATGCTCCTGGGTGAATCAGGGTAAGAACAAAATGCACATTTCCTACCACAGCACCCAGACTCTGGACCATCTGTGAAATGGGATCCAAGGCATGTGATACTGACTCGCACCAGGTTTAGGAAAATATTCTGATCCTCACCCCAGGGAAATAGAACCAATAAAGTGGTAAGGCCTATGGCCCAGTCTCTAACTTATCACCTCCCACAATGCACCTGGCTCAGAGAAATGAATCAATGAATTTTCATTTCAGATAATTGTCAAACCCAAAATCTCCTCCTAAACCAGAGCTGGCAGGAAGAAAGGCAGGTCTGATTTGTGTCCCTCTCCTTGGTTTCCTAGCTGGTCCATCACCTGGCAGTGGAAGCAGACTTGGTGTGATGAACACTCCGTGTTGTAAGCAGCTGGCTGGGGCATTTCTTGGGCTGTGAAGCCCTTTGTGGGAAGAAAATAACTTCAGGAAGTCACAGTTTAGAGTTTAGGGTCTCTGGCATTCCAGAATTTTTCTTTAGAAAATAACATATTTGTTTGCAGAAACCCTGTGAATTTTGTGGAAACTTCAAAAGTCCTTTGCAACTGTTTCTCATGGAAGGTTGCTAATAACCACGGTGAGAGTGTTGTTTAGTTCTTCTGGCTGCTGATTGGGGACTGCACTGTTACCCATCTCTGCAGCGTGACTAGCATTCCTGCCTCTGCACAGGTGGCTTTGACAATGTGTAGCTATCTCATTGTTCTTGGTCTTGTGCTTCCTAAAGCCTGAAGGTCCAGAGGTGCTGGCAAAGCACCCTGCATCTTCTACAAATTGATTTTAATAGTGCAGCATTTATTAAAGTATGTAACTCTGGAAGCTACAGAGTGGTGGGATTGCATGGTTGTGTATCCAGCCACGCTTTGTTGTTTATTGTGAGAACTGGTTTCAAACTACGACATGAGCAGTGGGCTGTGCTGTGTTATGTGCTCACGCAGGGAGGAGCAGGGCCACTTAGGATGAGGATGAAGTTTGAGACTTGGATGAAAGGCAGGTTGTGTGCTACCTGCCTGAAATCCCAGCACTAGGGAGACTGGGTCATGAGTAAGTTGGAGGAGAGCTTGGTCTACTTAAGACTTCAGGGACAGCCTGAGGTATGTTCTGAGTTGAAATCCAGCTGGGCAGCATAGCAACTCCTTGGATCAGTAAATGCAAACAACCACAAAACCCCAAGCCTGTCTATCTGGAGGGAGAGAAGTCTCAGAATCGTAAGATCCATCTGGAACCTCTGAGTCCCCAGGACACTAACTGAGGTGGGGGAGGTGGGGCATCTTCACGGGGGCCAAGGACTCACCAGGTGCAGATTCAGGTGAGGGCGATGGGACCCCAGGAGTCCCAGCAGGACCAGCAGCGACTGGATGCTCCAGGAATGAGCACCTCTCCCTCAGTCTGTCCTCTTTTTTCCCTCTTGTCACCTCACCCTACCCTCCCTGCTCTTCCCTTCCCAGCACACTCAGATCGCTGACTGGATCCCACCCTCTCCACTCAGTTAATCCTGGTGATCCACCTTCCTCAGACACTGGAGTGCTGGGATTTCAGGCCTGCACCAGCATGCCCGACTGTCAATTGGAAAGATCATACCTCAAAATCAAAAATTTAAAAAAGCCTGACATGTGAGCCCATGCAAATGTACCTGATTCAAACCCTCATTGTGAGAAAAAATAAATTTGGGGGGGAAGGCCGCAATAGAGCTGTGGCACAACTAAATGGTAGCCGTTCCTTGTGCTTAGACCCCAGCTCCCAACACTTGAAGAAAAGAAGAGCTGGTTTGAAAAAGGAGAAATTCTCCATCCTGGAACCCAGATGCAGGAAGGGTAGTGTCTCAGGTGGAAGCTGTGGGAGGAGCACGGATCGACCTGGGATGAATTTGTGCATGGATTGCAGCTATAGAGTCTTTCTTCATCCCTTTTCCCTTCATTTTTTCCTTCCTTGCTTCCTTCCTCCCTCTCTCCCCTCCTTTCTTTTTACTACTTTGAATGGACCCCTTTAATGCTCAAATACTGAGCTTCTTTTCAATTTTACTGTTTTGTTTTGAGACTGGGTCTTGATTATGCTTGAATTTGTGCTCAAATTGTTACCATCCTGACTCAACCTACAGAGTGCTGAGGTAATCCCGCTGTGAGCCACCAAACATGAAATGTTTGTTTTGAGACAGGCACTGGTGGAGTTCTTTAGGCTGCAAGGAATTGGAATGCTCCTTCCTTAGGCTACCAAAGGGCTGGCATTACAGGAGAGTGCCACAGTGCTCTGATTCCTCTGTAATAGTACAAACAATTTCTATCTTTGGAGTTCATATAAGTGACAACAGTAATATTCACCCTGAAACAGCATTTGTATGCCATTCTTTCTATTAATTTTTATTTTAAAGACAAAAGAACAAAAACAAAATAGGAAAAACAAAGACAAAACAAAACCCAAAAACTGCAAGAATGATACAGAATTTCAAACTAAGATGAAAGAAAATCAACTTGTTTTCTTTCTCTCTTTCTTTCTTTCTTTCTGATTTTTTCAGTCTTTGGGTTTCTTAATTTCTCTTTCTTCTTTCTTTCTTTCTTTCCTTGCTATGCAGTTCAGGCTGGCCGAGAATTTACGTTGTAGACTAGTTTGGCCCACAGATCCTTTGGTCAGCCACACTGAAAGAAGAGCTCGGTGTTCCCGGAGCTCAGAAGGAAATGAAAGCTATGTGCAGTCATCTAGACGGGGATGTAGGCGCGGCATGGTGGAGGGTGCATGTTATAGTCTTTCTGGTGGTAACTACGTTCACAGTGAAAAGTACAGAAGCAGACAGTCCAGGGATGCTTTGGTGGCTTCACGATCCTCCTCAGCTCTTGGTGTAGCTGGTTTTGTAGCTGCAGGTCCATCCTATGCCTAGAAACACAAAGCTCTGGAGGAGGTGAGTACACCTCCAGGATTAAGTTGCTCAGCCTGGCAGTGTGGCCCAGGAGCTTCCCACGAAATTTCCCTCCCATGAAATTCCTTGCGAAGCAGAATGTAGTAAGCTGGGAGCAGCAGCTCAGGGAAGGCAGAAAGGCACAGACCTGCTCCTCTGTGATCCCACAGTTTTCCAAGTGCAGGATGGTCAGGGTGGCTGCAATGTTCTTCAGCAGAACTTGGCGGGGCTCAGGGCTAAAGCCAGTCAGTGGGATACAATTCAGAATCAGGACTTTCAGCTGTCTGGTCTGCTCAGCCTGTGGCAGCTGGATCCAGTCAGAGTGTGAGAGCTGGCAGTGAATTAATGAGAGGGTCTTCAGCGTGGATGGGAGGCACCTGCAGAGAGACCAGGCAGTTAGATGTGCATTTGGTGGGGAAAAGAAGGGAATGGCCGGAACAATAAGACGGTGTACCAAGTGTCTCATGAGTCAGTCTAGTCTTGGAGCGATTTTTCCATCACCTGATTGAATGAATCTTGGATCTCCACTCTCCCCTCTCCTCACTCCCTAGCAGAAACCACAGCTCTTTCCTGATGAGGGCAGCAGGAGCCAGGCAGGAAGCAAACATCAGGCAAGATGGGGCCACAGCTACTGGGCTCTCCAAGGAGGCTGCCAGCAGTTTGTGAGCCTGTTCCCTGTCCTGCACCTGTGCTCCTTGCCCTCAGCCTCAGACCCCTGCACCACCATCAGGTCACCAGCTCATGCTGGGGCAGAGGCTTCTCGTTGGGACTGCTGGGGCATCAGAGAGGCCTTGGCATTTCTGCGCACCTTCCCCTAGGTGAGTTCCTGAGGAAGAAGTCACACACCCGCCATCTCTCTACCTGACCCCACCTTCTGGCATCCTGGCATGATAGCTCTTTCCCATCTGGCTGCTCCAGTACAGTGGCTAGAGTGACACCATGTTTTAGGCCTTAGGAGTGAAAAAGCCAGGGTGTGAACTCTCTAGTGTTTGATCTCTCTCACATCTCTTGGATGTACCATATCCATGGTCACTAATCTTTCTAGGACAAACAGAGAAAAGCTCATGTGAGTGCAGAGAGAGCTTCACATCTTACCTGAGTACCCGGTCCAAGCGGCCTTCTACCAAATTCACAGAGTCCACATAAATCTCTTGCAGACAGTGAAGGTTCCAAACTGAGAGGCGATTTGTATGAACAAGTGCTCTCTCTTCACTGGGGAAAGGGTGGCCGGCAGAGAGACTTCACTGAGAACGAGTCTGTGAAGGTTTTGCATCTGGCCCAGGAAAGGGGCAAATTGAGCCAAGGTAAACAGTGTCCAGCCCTGACCCACAAAGACAGCCTGTACAGAATCAAGGGTCAGCATTTCCAGGAACTCCACGGCCGTTGGAAAGCACGCGGTTGTTATATACAGATTCTTACACTCCAGCTCCACCAGATCTCCTCTGGCCTTCGCCCACTGGAGGAGGTAGGATTTCACTGGACACAGATTTCCCTGACTGAGCCAGAGATCTAAAGTCACCTTGAAAGGCTCCTTTTTTGCTACTCTTGACGCAGGCTTCTTTGTTTTTCTCCTCTTCATGGGTTTTTCAGAGCAGACTTGCAAGTCATTTCCAGCCCAGACTCTCCAGATATTCTGGTGCTCGTCCCTCATATCTAGCACTTGCAGTTTCAACCTCCTGTGGGTGAAGCAGAAAAGAGTCTGAGAATTTAGACCGGGACCCAATTTCCTCCTTTGCCTTCCTCATCTCTGAGGTCCGTGGCTATCTCCTCTACTCTTTCTACACTCTCGTCCTCTGCTTCTTCTTTTCCCCTGGAGTCCAGCCCAGTTCCTACTGCTGGTGCCTGCGGAAGGAGTCAGGAACTTCTTACTCCTTTCATTACACAGTTGCCCCCACCTGCAGCTGAGCTTCCCATGTGGCAGTGCCCACCCGCATGGGCCACCAATGCCAGAGGATTCCCTGGTACTCTGCCAGGCACATTCAGAAGCCGCAGCTTCACACTTAGCCCCCACTCTCCCTGACACTTTTTGTGCTTCCTGGAATCTAGGGCCCTCCCTGCAGGATACCTGGGTTTCACTCACCTGGAGTGAACCTTCTTTCTCAGCAACACATCAAGCCCATCCAGCACAGCGCAGAACATACTTTCCAGCATCTGGCCATCATCTTCCTGAGTTTCCAAAGTCCCTGCATTCCTTATGCTTATCAGGGCTCCCAGGGGCAGGCAGGGAAAGGGCCAGGACAGCACCATGGCCTTGAGAACCTCCCCATGGCCCCTTTTGAAGGCCTCTATGAACAGTCGTGGGAAGAGATCTCTTGGCAAATATTCCAGGGCCTCCATGGCCAACGTCCTATCCCTCAGCAAGCTCTGAACTGCCAAGTTCCGTAGTAGGTTTGTGGACTGGGTGCTCATCCTGGTGAATGTGGAAGGCCAGGGGTGCTGGGGAAACACTGAGGAGAGAGACATCTTTTTAGGCAAGCTGAGAAACCCCTTCTCGTCTGTCAGGAAAACACCCTGCAGCCAAAATATCTGTGATGTGACAAGGGCGGAAGTGTCCTTAGTCCGTTCCACATCTGCTTTGGCTTCTGGTCCCAGACCTTTACTTCTGCTCTAGTGAGCCCAGGATTAATGTCTGATGGCTCCAGGATGAGGCAGGATGAGAACAAAATGCAATTTCCTACCACAGCATCTAGACTGTGGACCCTCTGTAAAATGGGATCCAAGGAACCTGAAACCAACTCCCACCAGGTTTAGAAAATATTCTAATCCTCATCCCAAGGAAATAGAACAAGAAAATGGCAAGTCCTATGGCCCATCCCTACATTATTATGTCCCACAATGAACCCAGCTGAGAACTATTAAGCAATGATATTTCATTCCAAGTAATTGTAGAACCGAATGTCCTCCTAACGAAGAGCGTGCAGGAGCTGAACAGTTATGGTGTTTGTCCCTCTCCCTTGGGTTCGCTGGCTCATCCATTTCCTGGCAGTGAAAACACAGACTCCGTGAGATGAACACTCAGTGTGGTGAGCAGCTGGCTGGGGAATTTGTTGAGCTGGGAAGCCCCTTGTTGGATGAAAATACAATAATCTCAGGAAGGTGTACTTTAGAGTTTAGGACCTCTGGCATTCCCAGTATTTTTAGAACCTAAATTATTTGTTGGCAGAAACCCTGTCAGTTTCATGGAAACTCCAAATGTTCTCTGCATTTCTCATAGGAGGTTTCCAAATAGCCGCTAAGAGAGCATTATTCAGTTCTTCTGGCTGGTGATTGCAGGCTGCACTGTTACCCATCTCTGCAGATTGACCAGAGTTCCTGCATCAGCACAGGTGGCTCTGACAGTGTGTGACTATCTCCAGTGTGCTTGGTTTTCTTCTTCTTAAAGCCCTGAGGTCCCTGAGATGCTGCAAAGCATCCTGCAGCTTCTACAGATTGATTTCAATAATACAGTATTCATTAAATTACATAATTCTGGATGCTAGAGAGTTGTGCTATTCCATTCCAGACATGGTTTACTTTCTATTCTGAGAGTTGGTTTTAAACTACAACCTGAGCAGTGTGCTGTGCTGTGTCATGTACCCACTTAGGGAGGAGAGGGATCACCTAGGGTGACAATGATCTCCAAGACCTGGATAGAGGCCAAGCTGGGTTCTACCTGCCTGTAACCCCAGTACAAGGGAGTGTGAGTCCCAAGTGAGTTTGAGGACAGCTTGGTCTATTGAAGAGTTCAAGGCCAGCCTGAAGTACATACCGAGTTGAAATCTAGCTGGGTATCATAGCTAGACTTTGGATCAAAAAAATATTAACCACAAACCCCAAGCCTGTGCATCTGGAGGGACAGAAGTCACAGGATAATAAGTGCCATCTGGAACCTCTGTGTCTCCAGGACACTAACTGAGGTTGGGGAGGTGGGGCATCCTCATGGAGGCCAAGGACTCACCAGCTGCAGATTCAGGTGAGGGCGACGGGTCTCCAGGAATCCCAGCAAGACCAGCCCTGACTGGAAGCTCCAGGACTGAGCACCTGTCCCTCAGATTCTCTCCTCTTTTATCCCCCTTCTTAGCTACACCCTACCCTCCCTGCTCCTCCCTTCCCAGCACACTCAGATATGTGGTTGTTTCCCACCCTCTCCAACCTGTTAATCCTCGTGGTCCTCCTGCTTCAACTTCTGGAGTGCTGGAATTTCAGGCCTGACCACCAGGACTGCCTCTCAATTGGAAAGATCATGTCTCAAAATCAGAAATGTAAAAAACTCCTGAAATGTGAGCCTATGCAAATGTACTTGGTTCAGTATCTACTGGTGAAAAAAATAAACCATGGGGGTAGCGGGGAGAGTCCCCCAGAAGAGGTGTGACCAAGTGAAATGGTAGGTATTCCTTCTGCTCAGACCCCACCTCCCCACAAGTGGTGAGAAGAGTTCTTCTGAGGAACAAGAAATTCTCCATCCAGGAGCCCAGTGCAGGGAGGGCTGTGTTTCAGGCAGGAGCTACGGCAAGAGCATGGATTGACCCAGGAAGGGATTTGTGGATGGGATTCAGCCATAGAGTCTTTCTTCATCCCTCCTTCCTCTCATCATTTCCGTCCTTGCTTCCTTCTTCCTTCCTTTTTTCCTTCCTTCTTTCTTCCTTCCTCCTTCCTTCCTTCCTTCCTTCTTTCCTCCTTTCCTCCCTCCTTCTTTCCCTCCCTTGTTTTCTTCTTCCCTCCCTTCCTTACTGTTCATTACTTGAATGGACCCCTTTCATGGTCTAATACGGAGCTTCTAGCAGCTTTATTTTTTTCCTTTCAGAGTGGGTTTTGCTTATTCCTGAAATTGTGCTGAAATTGCAACCATACAGATTCAGCCTACAGAGAGCTAAGGTAATTGAGGAGTGAGGCACCACATCCAGCTAAATGTTTATTTTTACTGGGGAACTGGTGGAATTCTTCAGGCTGGACAGGCATTTGGAATTCTCCTTCCTTAGGTTACCATGGTGATGGCACTACAGATAGCGCCAGAGTGTTGTGATTTCTCTGTTATTTAAATAAAGCCATTTATATTTTTGTATTTGTAGAAATGACTACGCTGATATTCACCCTGAAACAGCACTATTTTCTTTTTATTCATTTTTATTTTAAAGAGAAATCAACAGAAACAAAATAACAAAAGAGAGACAAAAGAAGCCTTATTTCTTTCTTTCAGTTTCTTTCTTTCTTTGGATTATTCCTTTCTTTGGCTTTGTTTCCTTTTATTTCTCTTTCTTTCTTTCTTTCTTTCTCCTGCTATGAAGTGCAGGCTGGGCTTGAATTCACTTCGTAGCCTACGCTGGCCTCAAAATCTTAGCACTCCTCCTGGCTCAGCCTCCCCCATGCAGGGATAACAGGCATGCATCCTCACTCCCAGACATATAGCACTTCACAATAGTAACTTTGAAAACTGCTAGGGAAAATAAAATTTACCTCACAAAAATCTCTTCTCACCTGGCCTCACTCACCAGCAGGGGGCAGGTTTGTCTCACAGTTTGGAATCTTCCCTGCCCTAGAGGCAGAACCAGTCTCATGCCCTTATCTGTTGCCCTGCTGGATTTCAGGGCCCCGCTTTTCTGCAGAATCCTAATGAGATGGGGGCTGCAAGGAAATTTGTGTCCTCTTAGTGCACTGTGTCCCCATCCTCCCCTCTTCTCAGGGGCACAGGGTGTGTGTTGATGGTGAGGGAGTCGGACCACTGGCCCTGAGTCTCTGCAGTGTATTACACATGCTGTGTACATAACGCAAATAGTACACGATGTGTCCCAATTCATAACATGTGTCTTCCGGGATGTTAAAGAAGTGGCCTGTCCTGAGGATCAATGGAACAGACTGGAAGAAACAGCCACAACCAAAAACACACTCAGCCACCTAATCTGTGATAAAGGGGCCAGTCAAACTCAATGGGAGAACAATAGCCTCTTTAAAAATGGTCCTGGAAAAATTTGCTTGCTACCGCCAAAGACTGAAAATAGACCCAAGCCTATCACCGTGCACCAAACTCAACTCAAAATGGTTCACAGATCTCAATATTAAACCAGAAACACTATAGCTATTGGAAGAGAAGGTAGGTAAAAACCTTGAAGACATAGGGGTAGGCAGAGAGTTCATGAACAAAAACCAAATTACACGTGAAACAGTTGAAAGAATCAACAACTAGGATCTCATCCTACTGAAAAGTTTCTGCACATCTAAAGAAATCACCCAGAAAGTAAAAAGAAAACCCACAAATTTGGAAAAAATTTTAGCTGATTGTCCCTCAGACAGAGGGCTTCTATCTAGAACATATAAAGAATTAAAAAATATCAGCCCCTCCAAATTCAAAGACCCAATCCAAAAATGGGCAGCTGAGATGAATACACACTTCTCAGACAAGGAGATACAAATG